GAAACAATGGTGGCTTGCCTGGTCACACACAATCACGAATTAAACAGTACAGTAAAATATGTTTGTCAAAAGATTTAAGGAGAGAAATAGGCAACACAGTAAGTTCGTATTTGATCAGCACTGTTTTTTTTGTTTGGTTCGTTGAGCTAGACGGACTCACTGTGAATTACTTGTCATTCACAAGGTGGCCATTAGCCCTAGAGCATAACGTAATGATGATTTATTGTCTATTTTACTCTAATTTGGACAATAATTTACTAAATGAACATCATTCTGGATTGAAAAGGACTTGGAACTAGAGATTGAAACCATAAACTCATCAGGAAACAGTTTACTGACGGTGCGTTATACACAATCAGTGAGCAAGGTTTCGGTCATTCCATAAGACTGCCGTATCCTAGTGCTTATCACAAACGGCAGCTGACCCCGGCTGGCCATTTACATACGAACCCCCACTTTACTTCCACAAAACCTGGAACGCGTCCCACTCTATACAGTATATACTGTCAGGTATAGACCCATGCCATTGTTTACAGAAAACACAAGGCAAAAGAGTGTGTACCACTGCTCTAGCTACAAAGACATAACAGAGTTGGAGACATATGATTGGCTGAATGTTGAAGGGGCGGTGACTGCTGTCATTAATAGTGACATTATGAAATAAGAAGTGATGCTATAAAATAAAATGTGACATCAGAAAACAACACTATGAAATAAAATGTGGTATGAAATAAAAATGTCATTGGGGACAGTGCCCTTATTAACACTGTAAAACCAGTTCATCTTTAAACACTGTTGAAACTGATTACATGAAAATCTTTAAGTAACACAAACTAGGTTAAAAATATTCTTGATTTAGCCACTTTTTCTAATAATTTTAAGTGGCACTAACTTAGTTTTGAAAGTTACAGAACCATTTCTAATTTCTAACTTTTTACTAGGTATTTTCTTTTCACAGTACAAAAAACCCCATTCTCACTTAAATTTATTAAAGCTACTTAACAAAATGTAGGTAGTTTTACTTAAAATGTTTATTGTAATCTGTTTCAACAAGTTTTTGAGTTTAATCAACTTATCTGGTGTTACAGTGAAGTAAAAACAGACTTTCAATATGAAATACAAATTAAACTTCATATAAGAAAACAAAAAACTGAATTTTGTATAACATTTTATGATAATGCGGTTGAGTTTAAACAATTACATAATAATATTGAACACTTTAAGGTTTTGATGTGCTATTTACTGATGTATTGGAGTGTTAAACAGTGCTATTATTTGTGTAATGATACAGATCTCAGTTATACCTACCTGTCCAAATTCCCCTCATCATGTACTTCCTATTTTAATTTTCCATACGTGCTAAAGGTTCAGAAAATTTCATTTTTATTTCCATAAACAGCCAAAGTGGACTGATTGTTTCTCCTGTATTCTCCTCACAAAGCATCAGTAAACCGAGTGACTCATGCTCCTGTGGATACACAAATCATTTGTACCTGCCTCTTCTGTTCACCACAACAACAAACGCAACATGAAAATGTTACATAAATGCTGTTTTCGGGGTAAAGTACTTCAAAATTAGCAACCTGGGGTCTTTTAATGTTTGTCTCACAAAAACAGCATTTTATAAATGTCAGGCTCTTTTTGTTGTGCCCTATGATTCCTTTTTCTCTCTCAGTACACATTTAGTCTCCTGTATGTGTAAACCTCACAGACAGAGGTGAGGGCTGTAAGCATGCAGTTTTGGGAACTGAATGATTTCATTGTTTTCCATCATTTCAGGGAAAGGTGACAAATGTAGTGGGGAACATTCTGTCTATCTGCCCTGGTGTGCTATAAATGCCTCGGAGAAACTCAATTTTGTGCCACATCTCACATTTCACAAAAGAGCAAAAATTGATGCATCACACCTATTCCCAGACACACACACACACACACACACACACATAATCGACCAGAGAAAAGAGGCTGACGTCAAACCCTGTAGACCCATTCACAACCTCTCCCTCTCTCTACATTGTGCCTGCCAAGCTTCTGACAACCTGAGTTAAGGGGAAGAATTATTGGCTGTCAAGCCCAGTGGTAATGAATGGGGAGCAGCCGGTCAGTCGCCACGGGACAAACACACAGAAAGAAAATGTAAAGAGGGCAGAGAAGATGATGCCCTCGACCAGGAGAGGTTAATGTTAGTGTGTAAAGAGCACTTATAGTTACAGATTTCCATGTGCTTTGATCGGCCCGAGTCCCCACAAACAGGATTCATTCATTTAAAAATGACACACTGCATCTTTAGTGTTTTAAAGTCCTTCAAAACCTGTTTTGTCAATGAGCTTCTTACTATGAACAATGGGTCCCTACATAAACACAGTTTTGCAAGAGATTTCGGTATTTTTGTTTGTTTGTTTCACTGGTTTGAAGTGGGAGGAGCTCAGTTGAAAAAAAAGGTGACGTCACACTTGCACCAATCAGAATTTAGTAACATGTGAATTCAAATGTGATGGTTGTTTGCTTATGTTGTCAATCACATCTGATCACACCACACCCAGACAGTGCAGATGAAGCAGATTAGAGATATTTAGTTCAAAGATATATATTCTGTCATAACTGATTTGCAAATCAAAGGCTAAGCAAATTGCTTCAGTGCCAAAATCCAGAGAATTATGTCTCTTGTCCATGATGGCATTATGTACCAATTTACTGATTGTAATGGCTTTGAGCTATTAGACCATTTCATTACAGACCTGCACTAGAGGATGAACCCATAATAATCTGACACATAATGACAGTGTGTGCTGTCACAGTTCCCACAAAGCAAATGGGTGAGGATTTACTGTCTGTCCATCTTTAGAAATGATCTAATAACTAAAAAACCCCAACTTATGGACCACTTACTTGTGTTTTCCAGAGCTTTCAAATGTATCAAAAGGTCTTCATCAGTGGATGGAGTTGCAATAGACATGTGTCTGTTACTTAATAATACTTAACAGCTACAATTTAACCCCTAATCCATATTCACATAAAATATATGTATTTTATTTTATCTTCATTTGAGGTCACAGTAACTTCTAAAGGTTCATTAATTTGCATTGGTTAATATGTTTCCAGGATTAGCACACTACAGTCTCCAGCCCCTTTACGATCTCTATAATGAGACAGTAACCTGAAGTGAAAGCAAATGCACCTCATCCAGTGCTGGAAAAATTTCAGATCAACCATTTTACAAAAAATGCGACTCCAAATAGCTACACCACGCTGCTGTGTGGAAGAGGGAAAACTACTAATTGCCTGTAAGAAACTTTTCATTTGACCTGAGAAAAACCTTGTGTGTTTTTTTTAGTGGACAGGCAGTGGAAATGGGGGTGGAACTGAGCTGTAATTGGTTTCTGTTTACCAGTAATTCTGCCACAGACACAACCACAAGCAATTAGCCAGACAGCTCGGGCTTTATCAGTCCAAAACTGGCATTGTGTGTGTATGTATGTGTATGTGTGTTAGTCATGAGGGAAAATGTAATTAGGCTGAGGGGGACATGAGATTAAAATCAGCTCTTTTGTCCCGGTTTCTTTTGGTCTTCTGGTGCTGAAACGTCTAACAACATTAGAAAGGTAGACTTTATTCTAATGAAGGTTACTCACACTGCAGCCCTTCAGAAAGATAGAGATCAATACAACTATTTTATGTGCCTTGACATGAATCCATATCTAGAAGTTGTGAATGTGACCGGACTGAGCCTTTAAAGTTCCTTAATGAGTTTGAAAGGGTGTATGAGTCATCACTCCTTTTTTCCCTCCACACTAAAAAATGTTATTTTGGTCTTATGGCATGAATGTGGCACCTTTTCAGGACATTTTATAACAGGTCATATGTTGTTCTAAATGCTCCAAACCAGAAATAATGACATATATTTACCTAACCCACTGATTCCTTCAGTTGTTTACATTTGTATTTCAACAGCAAGTCTCTCTGATTCATTGTGGGCAGAATCCCAAGTCTAAATATGCCTTTTTCTCTGTATACAGAGATGTATTTATACACTGCAACTGTGACAAAGCTGAAAACAAGATAGTCCCACTGAATATCAGACAAGCAGGTCAGCGGGGGATAGCCTACCTAAACTGACATCAAACACAGCAACGAGAGGGATTTATGAATGAAACTGCGCACACTGATCCATAGACACGATTTGACAGGGAGCCAAAAATAGAGACCACAGTGCGCGCTGGCTGAAGACGAAAGTGCTCTCTCTCTCTCTCACACACACACACACACACACAAACACACACACACTCCACCTCTGCAGTCCCTCTGTCACCCCCGCCCGTCTCAGGCTTTGTCGGAGTCCGTATGTGAGTCATCGGTGGACTTTAACTGTCTCTGTCCCTCAGTGCCGCAGCAGACACACAACAGCAGTCAATGACAACAGCCGTTCAACAGTCACTACTATGAGCCTCAGTGTCAGTCAGTGAAGAAACAATAAATCAGACAAAGATAAATCAGTTATGGAGGGTGTATCAGCAATTTAACACCATTTACGCAAAGAAAGACCATTAAAAGGTGAATCAATGAGTTTAAGCTGCTTTATTTCCACCACTCTCAAGCATTTGTCGACTTATCGACAAAACGCCCGTTACACCCTTCCTCATAAAGAAGCTTATAAATCCCGTGAAGGTCCACGTTATTGAACACATCCGAGACAGAGCAGTCTTACAAGCCCCTCAGCCAGTCATTGACCCTTAATATAGCCCCGTTAAGAATTAGAAGCTGCGACAAAACGCCGTTACGCAGCCGCTGAGTCTCACTGGGTCAAAGCCAACTCCAGTTCAAATGCAGAGAGGAGCAATCTGTGTTTGGCTGACTCAAATTAACTGCGCGCGCGAGTTTGAGTGCGCGTGTTTGTGTGGCGTACACATGCGGGCGCGCGCGTGTTGCGTATCTCCTCGCTCTGTGACGCACGAGTCAGGTGGTTGCTCTAATAGCACGAGGAGCTGTCCGCGGTGCTGAAACCAGACTCACAGCGCGAGACAGAGAGATGCTCAGTTCACTCACGAGCCTCGAGAGAAACTAATTACACAAGGTAAGACTCGTTCTTCACTGCATGTCCCACACTGCACCTCTCCTAACGCTGCTCGCTGTCAGTGTGGTTCTTTTACTTCACTTCAACCAGCTGCTGTTACGGCAGCTGGTTGCCAACCTGATGCACCGCCACATACGCCGAGGCGAGGAGGTTGTTTGCCCGCAGTTTCTTTGTTCTCTTTTCGCTCCACATTATCCCGAACCGCTCGTGCTCCGCTGCTCGTTAAGTGCTACTTTTCTGTCACGGGTTAAAAATACAACCAAACTAAGCGAAGTTCGCCGATTCAAATGAAGGGAAAGTAAACATCCAGACGAGAGCAGATCATTGCACCGTCGCTTGTGGTCTGTTAGGCAGGTTTTTTTTCGTGTTTTGCCTCCTGTTTTTGGGGAAAAGTCTCAAAAATATCAACTTCACATTCATTTTGTACGCATTTGCACATTTTCCCTTAAAAAAAACAACAAAAAAAATCATTTTGATATATTTTGCGCGCCTGTTTAATAAAATCCCGCAGGCAGAAGGGCCATTTATTTCAACAGAACACCGTGCGATTGGAGTTAAAGCACGGCAAACATTAATCATTGGGTTTAGGGGTTTTCTGCGGTTAAAGGAGAGGGAACATCAGCCGTACCGGGTTACCATGACAACGGGGGCCGTGACTCACAGAGAGCAGCAATTTGACGACTAATGAGATTTGCACGGGAGCCGCATGCCGCTGCTGTTACTGCTGCTGGCAAACAGGCGGCAGGATTCCAGTAGGATCCGAAAATACCAGCAACAGGCAGCGAAATGGAGGAGCGACACAAAGACTCACAGACGAGCCAATAATATAGCCTACCGCTTTAATAAATAAACAGTAATAAATATGAGATTGGCCCCCAGCTGCTTCTAAGTATTCACTTTTCTTTGCTGCGTCTCTTATTTTAGCTGTGATGCAAACTGTAGAAGAATACAGAATAAAATAATATTTGAATTTATCAACTTAAAAGGCATAAAAAAGTGGAACTAAATCCGAATAAAGTCATTGTCACTGAAGGAGGTTTATTTTCATTGAACTGGATTTTGTTGGGCAGTTTAGACATTCCACACAAACACTGATAGGATAAAGGGAGGTATTTGAACTAGTTTTCACCAGAGCAGAAGTCATGGATGTGATTTTAAACCTGACCTGCTGCCTTTGAATGTATTCAGACGTCGGTGTGCTCTGTGACGTACCATCACAGCACACATTTAAAGTGACGATAAGAGCCACAGACAGTTAAGAAATGCCAGAGCGCCGACCGTTGCGAACCTGTTAGCTCAACTTGTTAAGGTCAGAGCTGACATTTGCCTCTTTGTCTGTCCTCTGCAGGCGTCACCATGCCGTCACTCCCCCAGACCTTCGCCACAGGCAAACCTTTCTTCATCTGCTTTGCCAACCTCCTCTTAATCCTCCTCTTCCTCACCTCCTCTGGCATTCACGGGGCTTCTCTCAGAGAGCACAGACTGCGAGGGAGCGAGTCAGACCCCCCGAGAGGAAATGTCCGCCAGAGCCCTAACGCCGACATGCTCAAAGCTTTGGAGTACATCGAGAGCCTCCGTCAGAGAACCGGCATGGAGCCCCAGCAGCAGGCCCCCCCCGCCACAGGCTAACGATGCCCGCCACGTGGATGACCGCTGAGAAGTTGCGTGGCCATGCTGAGGCTGGCCTTCTAAACCCTACGCACCGAACAAATACGACGGACGAGGAAGAGGAGGAAGAGGAGAAGGGACGGGAGGATAAGAGTGAAGAGCTGCTCCAGGCTGTGCTCAGCACCCTCCAGCAGACGGAAAAGGCCGCCAAGCCGGCGTCCCTTCGCCCCGGCGTCGAAGGAGCAGGCGGACAGGACGGCGCGTACCCCAGGGTGCAGCAGAAGCAACACAGCATCAAGCCTCACAAGAAGCTGCCGCTAATGTTTGAGGACGAGGAAGAGGGCGAGGGGGATGAGGAGGAGGATGAGGAAAGGCCAGATCACGAGAGCCCCTTCAAGCGCACCAACGAGAACGTGGAGGAGAAGTACACGCCTCAGAACCTGGCCACGCTGCAGTCCGTGTTCGACGAACTGGACAAGCTGACCAGTGTGAAGCCCATGCACAAGCGCCAGGAGGAGGAGGAGGATGACATGGAGGATGATGATGAGGAAGAAGATGATGATATGTTCAATGTGAGGAATGTGGCGTACGATGGCGGGGATCTTGCAGACTGGGGTCCGCTACAAGAACAGGAAGAGGAAGAGGAGGAGGAGGAGGAGGAGAGGGACAACAAGCATGAGGCCAACCGAGGGCTCGATTACGTTGACGACGGCGATGAAGAAGCCGATGATGAAGACGAGGAGGAAGATGATGAAAGCTACCCAGTCAAGAGGTCAAATGAGCCCGATGATGTTGCCAACCTGGTGGACTACTACCTTCTGAAAGTGCTGGAGAAAACGGAGGAAGAGAAGCAGAAACGGGAGGTAGAGGAAGAGGAGAAAGAGAGGGCTGAGAGGAGAGTGGCTCAGACGCAGTACAGAGATACCATAGATCCACAGGCAATCTACCAGCTCATTCAGATCTCCCAGAAATACCAGATCCCACCCGAAGACCTGCTGGACATGTTCAAAACCGGGGAAACGACGAGTCAAGACAAGTCGCGAAAGAGCAACGAGTTAGGCCGAGCAGAAAGCAGGCCCTCTCAGAAAACCTCAAAGAAGACGCACAAGATTCCCGAAGCCAAATTCTACAACAGACGCTTCCCTGACAGACAGAAGACCCCAGAAGAGCTGAGGACAGAAGAGATACTGAACATCCTGGGGCTGGGAGGCGGGGAGGATCCAGCTCCCGTCAGGAAGCAGAAGCAGTACAAAAGCTCTCCGTCACGACTTCACACTTCTCAGCCTGCGGGGCGTTCGGGGGAATCCGCTCCCACGCAACGGCGCCTTCCCAGCACGTTAAAGGACGACTATGACGACACTGTGGACGAGGACGAGCTGGCGGCGTACCTAGCAGCTCAGATGCTGGCACAGTACCAGAACCCCGGGTACGGCAGCGGCAACAAGGCGAGCCAAAAGCGGGACGAAGTTGGACAGGGCACGGCGGGCTCTTTTGAGCAGGCGATACAGGATTACTTTGATCAAATGGACTCCGATAAAAGCCCCAATGAAAAGAGACAGTCTGAGGATGACACGCAGATGCAAGGCTTTGACAGTGAGGCGGTGATGAAACTGTTGAGCTACCTGAACCCAGAAACTGAAGAAAGTGATGCCAAACCTGCCCCAGGAATATAAATAGGCTGTAGATACATATACTTATATATATATATATATATATATATATATATTGTTTTTGTGGAGGGAGAGGGTAAAAATAAAGTATTTTAAGAATAAAACATGCAGTCAACTTTAGTTATTCTGTAGGTTTACAAAAGTTCATATTTATTAGCAGACATATGAGTGTTCAGACATTCATTTGATGCTTTTTTTTAAACATGAGTTTGATGCTCAACACTTAACAACCAGTACATGTGACTCACCAGCCTTGCATTTCAACACAGACACACACAGCCACAATCAGTGTTGGACCCCCCTAGATTCACTTGTGTTTTTTTGGTAACTCTTTCTTAAATGTGGTCATATGTGACATACCTGAGGTTAATAAAGCATTGACTTTATTTTTTCCTTACGTGTAGTGTTTCTTCATTTACTCACCACCACACAGTGCATCAGTTTAAATGTGTCCTGCCTCACAGGTATTACTACTGAGATTACAAAAACATATTCAAATATGAAAAAAAATGATTTAGATAAACTGGGAACAAGACTCTTTTCAGTCACATCTCCTGTCATAAAACCCTGAGATTAATAAATATGAGGCGTTAAAGGCACTTACAGACTCAAACATAATTACAATTATTAAAACTTAAGATAAAAAGGAAAAGTCAGGAGGACTGTACGACCCTCACTCAATAAAAATGTTGCGGACTAATAAACCTTTTGCTTCAAGTCTTGAAATGTGAAACACCCTCGTCTTCTCTGGGCTCAGTAGGCGGGTTTGCTCATGTATTCCTCCATCGTCTATAGGTCGATAAGAGCAGAGGCATAAGAACACATTTTACATGAGTAAAGAGGAAAGCCTACGTCCACTAAATGTCTACTCAAGCTTAATGTACCTCCTGGAGGGTGTCAGCCTCCTCTATAGACACTCCCACAGATACTTTGGACGTTTCTTGAATTTCCCCTCCCATCAGGAATTCGTCCAGGATGAAGTAAGCCTTCTCAAAGTTGAAAATGATGTCCAGCTCACAGACCTGAAACAGAATATATAGACCAACCATTAGACTAAAGATAAATCACACTTCCTTGATCAGTGGTATAGAGGGTAATAGTTTCACCCATGAGAGAGGATAAACAACTTTTTGCTGCACTAGTATAGATGATCATGCCCTAACTGAATATTATAAAGATTACAGAAACGATCTATATGATAATCAAACACCATCCGTTTTCCATCTGTTCCTCCCACACTTCAGTTTCATTGTGTTTTTGTAAGTAAGGAGGCGTGGCTCTTGCCTTGCTTTTCGAATCAAAACAAGCTGGACCTGAAGTGGTTGTGGAGTAGAGGCACCTTAAGGACACCAGAGGGAGTCTGAACTTGTAGTGCAGTGTTGGCACTGTGCAACCTTTGACCTGTACATTATTGTACTATTGTGCATACTGTAAAGTATGGATAAAACTGAGTTATGTTCCTTCCCTTTTTACAGGGTATATTCAATAAAGGGAAATATTAATGTTACAGTCATATTTTAGACAGCATGTGCTTCTTTGTGGCAGCAGCGTGGGGTTTGACCATTGTGTTACACGATATATATACTGTCAATGGTTATACCACATACTACATACTACAACAATGACAAGCTGAACGGCTAACCTTTGAAATGACAAAAAAAACCCACAAGCACTCAGTTATAGATTTTAGCTAAATTAAATCAGGCAACAAGTTAGCCTGTTGCTAAATGAATACTGTACACTTTACTTCAAGTTAATTCAGTCAGCAGTATATAAACATTTAATAAAAGCTTTATAACACACTATAATGTCGTTCTTAACATATATTGTATTAACAGTAACACTTTATATCAATGTACACATATTCACCATTAACTAGTTCCTTATTAGCATACATATTAGTAGCATATTGGCTCTTTATTAGTCACTATAAAGCACTTCTTATGCCATGGAACAATTCGGGGTTAGAAAGACTTAATTTAGAGTTATTTGGGTGCTATTGACACTTGTGTTTATTTACATAAGAACAGACCATATTCATTAAGTGCTATTAAAAGAGAATTAGTATTCTTGTGGTTCTACCACCTCATAAGGCCCATACTGAGCAAAGCATAATAACATCGCAATTCATGCACAACAACTTCTTGACTACCAGTAAGCAGTAATGAGGTTACTAATTAGTAACTTAGGAGGGTATTGACGGAACACTCTCAGTTAATGGCCTAGTAGTTGTGGAACATGGTCATGCAGACTAAGCCATAATAAGTGCTTTATAATAAAGAGCTAATATGCTACTAATATGCATGCTAATAAGCAACTAGTTACTATGTGTACCAGACATGGCTCTGAACAGAGGTTGAACTAGCCAGAATAACTGACAGCATCCTGTTTGGGGAAGCAATGACAACTCAAAAACACAGATGACGTTTAAGTGAACTCCCACAGTGAATTCTGCTTGGGCCATGACTTGCAGCTCTACTCACGTTGCCAAAGTATTTATCCAACAACTCGACATATCTGTGCAGCACTTCGAGGCTCAGCAGCTCATTGTCGTGGTCGTCCAGACCGGTGCAGAAATACAAACTGGCATACCTGCCAGAGAGAGCGCAAATGTTACAATCCTGGCTGTATGGAAGTCCTTTCAAAGAAAAGAGAAACAACAGGCATATATTATTGCCTTTATTTGATAGTGACAGCTGAAGAGTGACAGCAAAGGGGAAAGAGAGACGGGATGACACGCAGCAGAGGGCCACAGGTCGGACTCGAACCCACAGCCACTGCAGCAAGGACTCAGCCTTTGTACACAGGGTGCCAGCTCTACCAGGGCGCCCCAAACTCTGGCAAGTTTGACCAAGTTTATCTGTAAAAGCTTCATAAAGGTGTGATGTATTTCACTTATTTTAGTCTAATTCGTCCTTGCAGTGGATCACATTATACTGTGAGGTGTTCCTGTGACTGTGTCCACTCCCACTCACTCTACCCCTCTTCCATACTGCAGTGAAGGAGAGGAAAAACGGTGACCTGGGTCATGCTCTGTGTGTTTTCCCCTTTACTCTGTCCAGGGCTTGTTAACCCATTGTTGGGAATGGGTGTGTCTGTTTTGTTATCTGTGTGTATTTTGAAGCATTAGCAGATTAAGACACACACGTTGAGCTTAAACAGAGTGAGAGGTGGTTTCTGCTCAACAGCCGAGTCTGTACCTGCCAGAAAACCACTCCTATGACAAAACACAGGAGCAATATCATGTAATTGCAACACAAATGAAAAAGCAGCTGTGTCTCTTGTCGGTACCTCTTGTAAACGATCTTGAGGTCTCTCCATTGGAGGAAGTTGCAGGAACGTGGTGGACGGGCCAACACTAACATCATCATGTCCCGGATCACCTTCTTCTTCTCCCGTTCCGTAATTGGTGTGAACCACTTCTGCAGCCGCAGCTTCCCCTGCCGGCTGAACAGCAACAGGAAGCGCATCTGGAGAGGGCAGAGTGGGGAACGAGAGCAGAAAACACTGACTTCTGAAAAGTGTTTTCAGAATGTTTGTCTTGCAGTGTTAAGCACAGCGGCAGAGAAGGAGGGACATGACTAAACAGGAGGAACATCTTGTGTTAGGAGGGTTAGAGACAAGTGACTAAAAATGTGGTCACTGTGTAGCTTGACAACAGAGCAAACCAAACAGACATGCAGTGAAGCAATCTCACACACACACACACACACACACACAGTGTAATAATGCCCCCACCTACAGCCTGCAACCAAAACCAAACAACCACACAGCAATCAGGTTTCACAACTAGAAATGTGAATGCGGATCACCTGGGAAACATAACCCAACCATATATCACCTTTGAGTTCAATATCACAGCAAATACAGAGTGTGTGTTGTGCAAGGGCAATTAATGAGAGCTCTTTGCCCTGTGCAGCTCCGCTTCTGCCTGCAACAAGATAAAGCAGGACATGTGGAGGAAGGAGGAAGTGCAACTGTAACACATCTGTCTGCTGAACAAAGACTGAGAAGGATTTCAAAGGTTCAGATTTTGGGTGTAACTTTGTGATTTGTTAAATTCCTCTTAATTATATCGTTTAAATCATTCAAATCGGATTTAAACTTCTGCAAACTAAACCAACATGTCACTTTGAGCTCATTTTATAACGCAACGTGATCGATCTGACAGAAGGAAGATCACTACACAAACAAATTACATCTGATCAAGGAAGTACCAAACTGACTTACAGTAAGAAAGAAGTCGTTTAAAAGACACTTAAACACTGAGTTGGGCGTTCAGTGCAGTGCGGCGCCTCTTCTTGCCAACAGGTGAATGAATCAACGAGCCCGGATACTCACCATTTTGTCAGAGCAGTCCGACAGAAGTCCTTCGGGCTTGTGATAAACCCTCTCCCAGAATCCTACAGTCCTCTCCTACTGTATCTTGAGCGTTTTCAGATACGGCGACATTGTTAATCTTCCCAGAAATCTCAGCTCTCACCTTGTCCAGTCGGAGCCGCGCCCCGCTGCGCTCCAGCCGCTGATTGGCTGCCGAGGAGCCACCGGGCAAAGCTGCACACACACACACACACAGGTGAATGAGTGCAGTCAGTGTGTGGGGAGTGTAACACTGCTCAGGGTGCAGGAATATATATTTTTAGTCAGTTATTGTCACTTTCGGAATAAGTCACGTGCATATCTGTTCATATGTATTAAAGCGCACGTGAAACTTAACACGTTTTGGTGCCATTAAGTTAATTTGTGTCCGATTTTGGATACATTTGTGTTTTTACAAAATGTAAGTTACAAAGTGGAGGTACTGAGTCCAAATTATGAGATTAAAAATCAAAATGTTGAGTTACTAAACTGAACTGATAAGACAATAACAGTTGGTATCAAACATACAACGCTAATATGGCAAATGTGTTGTATTTCTGTTGTTCTACCTCCTCTGTAGGACTACGGTGGCGTCTTTACCATCACCATCCATCCTATTGTTTCTCACATTGTTTGTGTGTATTTTTGTTATCTTCAGTACTATTAAGTCTGTATTGACTTTTCCATATATATATTTCAGTGTGTTATTTTTAACTGAACACTGCTAGCTGGAGCTGGAGCTAGCAGGTTTATTAACATGGAGGTTCTGCTTCATTGTCTCTGTCAGGTATGTTTTATTGCGAATGAGTTCATAGTTCATATCGTGTTTAGTAATAAAGTGCACACAGAGCAGGAATAACGTTATCAAACAGGAGGAATATTACAACATGGCCACCACACACAGTACGTTTACGTTGAGTGTAAAGTGAAGGGAGCTGCTGTGTCCCTGCGTCCTGCCGCTGGGGGGCCGGTGGCGGAGGAGTTGTCGCCCGCTGATGTTAATGCAGTGGAGGAGCTACACGTGGTTCTGGTCCAGGCTAAAAGCGGAGGAGAGAGCTGAGCGCAGCGAGAGGCTTCCAGAGCAGCACCATGTCTCTGTACCGCAACTCCGCCTGGTTCCTGAAGGGAATGACCGAGTTCACCAGGTAAGATGCCCTAACCCTGCCCCGTCTCTGCTGACCGACACACCACTGTAGTGTTTGAGGAGCTGGAGTCAGTGTGTCACCGTCTGTGTGCATCCTCCCCAGCGTGTGGGTGCTTTAATGATTAAACTGAATTATTGTCAGTCATTTGATGCTCCTTTTCCTTGTGATTTTATTGTAATGTTATTGTATTTCTGATTGTAAACACCGCAGTGAGTTAACTGTTACTGTATTTAACTTATGCAGGCACCTTTCTAACACTAACTAACAACATCATCTTTATACTCTTACTGCCAGTATGGGCCTGAAATGTTCATT